AAACTGCAGGCAGCAGGATAATAAAAGCGAACGTAGCATTAAACGCGCCCGACGCGCTGCTTCAGCTGCTCAGACGCGCTGCGCCTGCTGCTCAAAACGCGCCGCGGGACCTTTAGCTGCGCCTTGACGCGCGTCAACCATTGACTTTGCATGTAAACTCGCTGCTTCTGTCACGCCAGCTGCGTCCGGTGTGAACGCAGCATTAAGAAACCATTTCCTCACTGATTTGTTTGCAGCAACAGATCAGATGAGCAGAACTGCCCAAACATCTGCAGAAAACATCTGAAATAGAATCAAAAACCTCTAAAAACTGCATCACAATGAAGCAAATATGCAGCCTAAATACTTTAGAATTTATATTTATTTCAGACTTCTGGGTTACAGGCTGAAAATGAATCAGAGTTAAAAAAAATGAACTTTACAGTTTGATCAGATTCAGATCAAACCTCTGTGGAGCCACAAAATGGAGCTTAGTTTAAATTTCATCTTCAGTGTTACAAGACACTAAATGTATCAGACACTAAATCACAGACAAAACTCTAAACTCAGGGTTCATCACCAAGATCCAGTCAGAGTCTCTTTAAACTCAAACTGCTGCAGCTTCAACCTCTGTGGATCATCAGGACACAGATCAGCTTCTCTCCTCTACTGAGATCATCACCTCCACTGCCTGCAGAGAGAAGAAAGAAAAAGAGAGGAGATAAATGAGTGTTTCCAGCCTCTCTCTCTCCATCAGCTGTCAGTCAGTGATGCACAGTGTTGGGCACCTTACTTTGAAAAGTAATTAGTTATAGTTACTGGTTACTTCTCCCAAAACTACTAATTGAGTTACTGCACAATAAAAGTAACTAGTTACTGGTAAAAGTAACTATTGTGTTACTTTTGCGTTTCTCGACCCTGTAACCCTCACCACCCGGCCCCCACCTTCTCGCCGTGTGTTTCAAAAGCCAGCTGAATAGAGTGGATGACAAAGACAAGAACCTGCAGAGAGTTTTGCATTTATTGCAACTCAATATAAATGACACTGGGGGGATGCTATCTGATGGGCTTCTAAACCCCATCGGATAGCATTCCCTCTGCTTAACATGGGGGGATGGTATCTGATAAGGTGTAAATACCATCAGGCTGGATTACCTCTACTGATGGGTGTGAAGTTTTTTAACAGGATGTTCAGATCTGGTGAGTGTATGAAATAAATAACTGGGGATGTCTAATTCTGAAATGCTGTGTGTTTGGATAGTTATAGATACTGCAACATCCATCCATCCATC